CTGAGTCACCTTCCTGCTGTGAACGAGGTGGAATGGTGACAACCACCTTATAACTTCACAATCCTTTTTTGGGCACTTTGTGTTGGAGGCTGCTCTCCCATTCTATGCAAAGGGAATGGTGGGAGGAACAAATTGGGGTGGAAGAACTCCACACGCACAAAGGAGAACTGAGGGATTGGAGGTGGACCTAGCAATCAAATTGCATCTTCAAACACAGTCAAACTAAAGGGCACCTAGAAAACCAGGCACAAACACTAAAAAAACCAGGAATGAGTCAGAGACTCATTTGGGTTGACATTCTGCTGATGTCTACTGAGGGCTCTGAATTAAGGCATCTCTTAAAGCATCTATGCCTCTTCACAGACTCTGTGGAGATACTGGGACATAGCATCACATCTTTGACGTGATGCTGGCTTAAAATGTTCCCCTCTTTCCCTCACCAATTCTTCCCTTTCCAGTTCTTGAGGATGTTCACCCTCTTCTCAGGCATACTAATAGAGTTGTTTGTGGGGTTCTCCTGGAAACTGGAGAAGAAAGTTGTCTTAATTTGAAATGTCCCTTCTGTGAGGGGAAAAAGGGCCAGAAATGCCATCACTATCCATCTTCATTGTTCAAGACAACGGACCTGCACCACAGATCCAGTTTCACAGATTGCCTAAAATTCCCAAACACATTTCTGTTTGACTGTGCCCTCATACCTGTCTCACAGAATGTTTTACAAGGCAGATGATCCTACAGCAGCACAATAACTACTGCCTAAGAGCACGTTATCCCACTTAGCCTACTTATACACCATGTGCATGATTTTGCTTTGAGTCCTTTGAAGCCCTAAGCCCTCCATCTGTTGTCACGTATGAGAGAACCTGAACTGGTGGTGCAAGCCCTGGTGCCAAACATCAGTCACCAGAACTCATCTCTTGCACTGCTGCCACGTGACATCCTAGCTTCACCTGAAACAAGGAAACTGTGACATTTGTCTCTATTCATTAGCTCCTTCTTAAGAGTCTGTCAATTACCTCTTCAATCAAATGTCAGAAAAAATTAGTGAGGAAGGATTAAATCTACACTCCAGTAAACCTGGACCTGCAAGAGTTGTTTCAAGACATGTGGCCAGAAGCAGACTTGATTTCATCTCCTCGGGAATGAGCACTTCCACACAAACAAAGGCATGTGGCACTTAGATCCTCAGGATATTATTGCACTCTGACACCGTCGTTGTTCAGGTGTGCTCAGCACACCCATTACACACATCCCACAGGGAAATAAAAGGTTAAATACATTGTCCCTTTCCAGAAGGCTTTTTTGATAAAGGTCTTTCACTGCCAGTATGTGTCCATTTATTGCAGGCTAAAGATGGAGGGTGTTGAATCTTGCCTTGAGAAGCAGAATTATACCCTCTGCTCAGGCAGTAGCAGCCTGAGCTCTGAGACCAAACACATGGGGCAGTCTATGTAGCAATGCACTGCAGGAAACTCATTTGATGAAGAATCATGTCATAACTAGATTAATGTGTAACCACACTGTAACTGTAGCTTTGCTGTAAATGTTTGTGCTACATTTGGAGCAGGTAATAACTGTGCACATTGATATAGAATCACTAGGGCTGGAAAAGACTTCTAAGATCACTGAAACCAACCATCAATCCAGCATCACTGTGTTCACCACTAAACTGTGTCCACAAGTGCCACATCCACTCACCTTTTGAACTCTTCCAGGAATGGTGATTCCCACCACTTCCCTGGGCAGCCTGATCCAATTCCTGACCACCCCTTTAGTGAAGAAATTTTTCCTAATATATAATCCAAACCTCTCCTGAAGCATCTTGAATCTATTTCCTCTCATCCTGTTGCTTATTACCTGGGAGAAGAGACCATACAACAAGAGGAAGGAACTGGAAGCCATGATGCAACAGACAAACTATGGCACAGTTGTCATCATGGAGACATGGTGGGACAAGTCACACAACTGGAGTGCTGCAATGGATGGCTATAAACTCTGCAGAAAGGATAGACAAGGAAGGAGATGATTGTATGAATCTCTGAAAACTACTTGTCATCTGCCCCAAAACTTGTCACCGTGTGTAAGGACCTCCTCTATCCCACAGTCACACCTCTCAACTGGTTTTGGTCTTTTTCACTAGTAGGAAAATGTGAAGCCATCTGTTCTATCAAAAAAACCAGAAAACTAACATGTTTACATCCTTCACTCTCAAGAATAGATTTGCTAATGAGGGTTGGCCTTAGCAGGATGGCACAGAATCATAAAATATGCTGAGGTGGAAGGAGCCCATAAGGATCATTCAGTTCCAACTCTTAACCCTGCGCAGGGTCATCCCCAAGAGTCACACCATGTGTGTATCATCCAAACACTTCTTAAACTCTGTCAGGCTTGGTGCTGTGACCACTGTCCTGGTGAGCCTGTTCCAGTGCCCAACCAGTGACATCATCTGCCCCTCATCCAGCTTCCCCTCAAACCCTTCACAATCCTACTTGTCCTCCTTTGGACACTCTCTAAGAGCTTAATATTTTTCTTATATTGTGGTGCCCAAAACTGCACACAGTATTCAAGGTGAGTCCACCCCAGTGCAGAACAGAACGGGACAATCCCCTCCCTCACCCAGCTGATGATGCATTGCCTGATGCCCCCCAGGACATGGTTGGCCCTCCTGGTTGCCAGGGCACTGCTGACTCATATTCAACTTTTCATCAGCCAGGACCCCCAGGTCCCTTTCCTGGCACTGCTTTCCAGCACCTCATTCCCCAGTCTGTGTGTACATACAGGGTTGCTCTATCCCAGGTGCAGAATCCAGCACTTCCCCTTCCTGGACTTCACAGGTTTGGTGATTGCCCAGTCCTCTAATTTGTCTCTCTGTCAAGGGCCTCCCTGCCTTTGAGGGAGTCAACAGCTCCTCACAGTTTTGTGTCCTCTGCAAAGTTGCTTAATATCTCTTCCCGTCCTGCATACAAGTCATTTATGAAGATGTTTTAGAGCACAGGGCCCAAGATGGAGCCCTGCGGAACCCCACCAGTGACAGGTCACCAGTCTGGTGTTACCCCAGTCAGTGTTACCCTCTGTGCTCAACCCATGAGCCAATTGCTCACCCACCACATGATGTGTTGATCCAGCTGTGGGCTGGACATTTTGTGCAGAAGGATCCTGTGAGAGACAGTATTGAAAGCTTTACTGAAATCCCAAAAGATTATATCAACTGGCAGATCAGCTACATACATCCTGTTCGGTCTCTAATGCTCAGAAGCCTGGCAGTTGTGTTTCCAGGTTAGAAATGATGGTTTGATGCAAAACGTTGTCCAGGCAGTGCAACACCTGGTTAATCAAAGAAACAAACTTGGAACTCATCACTGAACTGTAACCTCCTTGCACACTTCTTTGTGCCTCCTCTCTCTGTATCAGGAATATTGGCATTATGATGTCCTGGAAATAATATTTCCTCCAAACTTCTGGAAAGACCGTTTATGTTCTCTTCAGCCTGCACCCTGAAAGATGCATTTCCTCCCATGAATCAGTCCACGAAATTACTGGACCTTTTATCTGCCTGATTTGCAACTACTGAGTATAGAAACAGGGTAGGGTAACTACAAGCAACACTAGAACATCACTGACCACTAAGGACAGGAAGATTTCTCTGTTCTGTTAGTGTTCACCACTTTACTATGTACACCCATTTACTATGACATGATGACTGGAAGGCCCTTATTAAATTAAACTAAATGTCAGTTATTCTCCTTTTCTATGCTCTACTTCAAGTCAGCTCAGAACCAATTTCAAATGCTTTTAAAAGCAAACCCTGTACAGGAATCATTTATCGATGCTTTCTTGCAACTGGAGTTGAGCAATTCTTACTGCAGAGGCCACACTAAGTAACTGAAATGGGTTTGACCTCACAGGATACATCCCTTATGTAGTCTTTGTCCAGTTCAGCCTCCAGGGGGCAAGAGGGGAATAGAAAAAAAGCATAAGAGCAAAAAGGGGAATTCAGTGTGTTGAAGAGTGTTCTCCCTGGTGCAATTGTCTTGACTGCACAAAAGCAGAGAGAACCTATTTCTGGGGCTTCTGTAAGAATCTCAGCTTAACAGCTGACCCTTTCATACAGCTGGGTTACAGAAGAGGAGCTCCATCATTCACACACCACTTCCTCACCTTTGGCTGAAGTAACCGGAAAGGGATCAATGGCAAAGATAAAACCTGAAAAATCAGACATGTATTCCCAAAGGGACCAGTAGTTTTATTTTACTTGTATTTAAAAAGCTTTGAGAAATGTTAACAGTAAGTCAATATAGACAGTGAAAGACATACTATTGGGCTACCCCTTGCTCCTGGGAGCAGGCAGATTTGAAAAGGGCACAACTCTCAAACAGTAAAAAGAGATCTGCAAAGTTAATGCCTCTCTCAAGCTTGCAGCAGGCCACAGTGTAATTGTGAACCCAGCATGCCCTGTGAGCTGCTGTAAGCTGGCTAAAAGCAGTCACTTAATCCTGTACACATCAGTGTGTTTGGCACCCCTTGTCCTGGTTCTGGCTGGGATAGAGTTAATTTTCTTCCCAGTAGCCAGTACAGTGCAGAATAATGTTGGTGACACACTGATGGTTTTTGTTGTTAAAGAGCAACACTTACACTAACTCAAGGACTTTTCAGATTCCTGTGCTGTGTGGCTGGCCCGAAGGCTGAGGAGAAACTGGGAAGGGACACAGCCAGGACAGCTGACCCCAGCTGGTCAAAAGGATATTCAGATCATATGGTGGCATGCTGAACTATAAAACAGGGGACAAGTTGGCTGGGGAGTGGTAGCCTGATGCTCAGGGACTGGCTGGCCATCGGTCAAAGGGTGGTGAGCAACTGTGTTGTGCAACCCTTGTTTGTATATTCCCTTACTGTTATTATTTTCCCCTTCCTTTTTCTGTCCTTTAAAACTGTCTTTATCTCAACCCTTAAGTTTTACTTTTTTTTCCTGATTCTCTCCTCCATCCCACTGGGGTGGAGTGAGGAAACAGCTGTGTGGGGATCAGCTGCCTGCCAGGTTAAACCACAACACCACTGAAGATGGAGCGTGGCAGTGAGCATCAAAGGAGCAACCATTCCAGTGGCCAGAGTTGTAGGCCTGGAGAACTGCCCATGCACGAGCAAGTCCGCAGACACAGCAGCAAGCCTGCAGGCTGCATGAGAGACTGCATGGCAGGAGAGGGACAGATTCCCAGCCTTCCACCATCCCAGCCAAACCAGAGCACCTAACTGTAAGACCCCAGGCTTGCACTCTGAGCTCATTGAAGGGGTTTTACTTTTAAAATAAACAAGGCTCCAAAAATTTCACCCACCGGACTTATTAAAAGGGCCTTCAGTTCTTTTATACATCGAGAGAGCACACAGGAGAAGACACTGCACACATTTCTCAGGAGGTCAAATAACACACTTTCATTAGCAAACCTTAGAAAGTAAGGGAACTTGGCAAAAGTTTAAAGGGCAACGTTCAACCCAAATGAAGCATTTCACAAAGCACCAACTTAGCACATGCTAAGCCATACAACTTAGCAAAATCCAGCCCATTCAGCTTTAAGTTAGTTACCCAAATATCAAGAAAGGAGAAGAAGAAGTAAAGAAAGAGAGAGAAAAAGAGAGGCTACCTTGAGTCCTGTGCAAGTCCAGCTCCCCCATGTCCAGATGGTAGGGATGGCCACATGGTGCTGGGTTTATTTGCTCTGGCCTCTGTGGCCACCCACCAGGCAGGATTTCTGGTGTGCCAGCCATTCTGGGATTAGGGGCTCCAAGGGATGTGGTATGGGGGAGTGCTCCCAGTGGGCCAGTGACTGCCAGCTATTCCAGGGCTGCCCAAGGAGGCTCCAAAGAGGCTGAGGTATGGGACAAGGCATCACCTCACCTTTGGGAAATTCAACCTGCCCTTTCCCTCACCCCCCACTTGACAATAGTTAATTTAATAATCCAGTGTCTCACACTAACTCCAGACTTTAAGTTTACTGTGAGACAAGTAGCAAATAGCTGCATGTTCACCCCCCTCAAGAGCTGTTCACAGTGCTGCTGCCTCTCTCCCAAACCTTCTGTCCAAGGCTGCAGTAGATGAAGGTCAAAATGCCCTGCCATAATGCTTAGTGGATCTTGCTGGCCGCTTAACACACAGAAATCCTTCCTATCTTGGAAGAAGGTTACATTAAGCCCTGTGGTACTGTTATAAGGAAAAGCATTCCTGAAGAATCACCAGAATCACCTCTAGCAGCACTTTCTAGAGGGCCCAGATTCACTACATTTCAATAAAATTTCTATATGAAGTCACCCCCAGTCCTCAGAAATTAGTCTTCAGTGTTTACAGCCCTATAGGAACCCTTCTTAAAAGGCATCTTCATTTTCTGATCTTTTAGTGTCACATACTTAATAAAACTTGGTAAATTCATTCTGTAGTCCCTTCTGCACACTCTTTCCCTCTTCAAAATAATTTTAAAATCATTTTTTCCAGCATCTGCTCCTTCCTGTTTCTATATCACTGCTGTAAATGGGATTTTTCTTCTTGACATCAAAAGAAGCAAAATAAGGCTTCCTAGGATAGTTTTCTGGCTGATTACACAGAAGAAGTGCAGTAGTCAAGAGCAACAGATAAGTAGCTTTAACACATCATAGTTTCCCGTCTTTGGGCTGTAGAACAACATAAATATGTTAATACACCCATCTCTGTGCTGCTCCTTGCCCCACAGAGCTTCACAGCAGCCTCAGCTCTCAGCTGCTAAGGCAAACACACCTCAGTGGAAAGGGCTCCCACTCTGCCCTCACACCTACAACTGCACACCAGGCACCAACACAACACCCATAATGTGCCCTGGGCCACCACTAAACCACTTGAGGCAAATGGAGGTGGTGACAGCTGAAGAGATGTCCCTCAGGGGGTGATTTGGCCTTTGTGGGGGCAGTAACAAAGCCCAGGTCACAGGGACCTGGCCAGGACTGGCCATGAAGAATAGTCTTTAACTGTCTACCTCTGCCACAGATCCCATTCCAGGTTATGCCTAACAAGCCCACTTACAGACTTTTTTTTTTCTTCTGTTCCTAAAATACAGAAACAACACAAAAGAAAACCAACCAAACAAAAAACAAAACAACCTCTGGTGCTCCCTTGTGTTCATATTTCAGTAGCAAACAAGCAAGAAGCTGGAAAAACCCAGTCAAGTAAAAAAGAAACTGTTGCAAAAGGGTTCAGGCAGGCAGCACTTAGAAAACAATTCCCTGAACACAAACTGTCTTCACTTGCTGGCAGCACAGAAACAGTAAGTTTTATGGCAAAAGCACACAGACTATAGTCCTAGTCAAATGGGAGGAGATGGATGGAAGGATGAAGAGACAGTCAGGAGGATGGAAGGGCACAGAGAGTTCAGTGAAAGCAGAGTCCTGGTCTGCTTTTGGCAGGTTAAAAGTCTACTGTGGAATATTTCATGTGATAATGTTATATATGTGTGTATGGAGATATGTATTTTTTTCCTATATGCCCATTATGGAATTGTCACAAAAGAAAGAATTTATCAGTAAGTAGTTAGTAATTCTTCTGGAGAATAATTTACAGGAGTCATCTACTAAACTGTGGTTGCATCTAGACCTCCAGTTCCCTGCTAGTTCATAAGATTTTCATGCAGTAGCACAATTTTGCTTGTGTTCCTGAGACTGCAGGCAAATGTTTAAATATTTCACCAATAGAAAACCATTCTGAATGAATTTTTTAAGCCAAGATGTAATGTTTCTATTCCTATTTGATTTGAGGAGTTTCATACAGTTAAAGAATGTCCTGGCTGGGACTTGAACTGAGAAAGCAATGGCTCTTCAATTGTTACAGTTAAAGGCAAATTTTGTACTGAATGCATGTGGTTACTTTTGAACCTCTGGTTAAACCAGTAACATGTAATTGTAAAAATATTTCCATTTTCTATTACCTTACTAATTGCTTTCCAACTTTACAGAAGTCTCAATATCTGCTCAGACCAATCTGACCAATTCGGAGGTGCAGACCATATCTGAATGAGAAGTGGAGCCTTAATGAGGTGCCTGAAAGGAAGGAACCAGCTAGAAGACATTATGGTATTTTCTATATAGATTTTTCATCTGTGTCCTTTACCTGATGAATGGCTACACAAGTCTGAATTAGGAGTTTCCTTGAAAACACAATCCAAAACCAGCAAATTGACAGGTAATTTGAGAATGAAAAATATACCCTCCAAAGCGGATGGAGTTGATGTTCCTAAAACTGTAAAAGGCAATAAAGAAGGAAAAGAACTGCTAAGTCAGGCCAAGCCCTGCACAGTTTTTGAAATAATCCAGGTAGAAACTTCTTAGAATGTGCTGAACTACACAGAAAGGAAGCCTGTGAGGTTTAGAATTTTCAGCTCTTACATATTCCACTCTTTCCTTAGCTCCTTGCCAGAAAGAATCCCCACTAAATGAGATGCTGTCCTCATTCTGAAGGTCCTTGAGCACTTTCAATTGCTGGCTTTTGCATGCACAGGGAATTTTAGCAAAGCCCTTGAGGTCATCTGTGTTCTGTGGTACTTTGCCATACAAAAAAAGAATTGGGTATTTAGTACCAAAAGTAATTTGAAAAGGGACTTTTAATAAGGGTGTGGAGTGATAGGACAGTGGGTGATGGCTTTAAAGGGTAAAAGGGTAGATTTAGATTAACTACAAGGAAGAAATTTTTTATTATGAGGTTGGTGAGACACTGGACTAGGTTGCTCAAAGAAGTTGTGGATATCCCATACCTGGAAGTGTTCCAGGTCAGGTTGGGTGAAGCCCTGAGCAACCTGGCTTTGTGGAAGGTGTTCCTGCCCACGGCACAGTAGTGGGAACTAAATGATATTTAATGTCCCTTCCAACTCAAACAGTTCTATGATTCTATGAGAAGTCAGCATCAAGATTCAACATACGAGAAAAAAGAAAAGGATACACAAGTCTACCAGCCTGCTACTGAATTCCCCTCTGGTGACCAGAGCATTTTTTACTTTCAAGAACCAACTTTTTTATGTTCTTTCTTTCTTATGTACTTCCTTTCCAGCACTGAAATCAATCATGTCTAGAAACCATCAGATCCAAATAAGACAGGATTATGCAACAGCATGTCATTAGTGAATCAATGTTGCCTGACCAGGCCACGTGCTTGTCAAGGTCACATTGATTTCTTTAACATCATATTGTTGCAGTTGGCCTTGCTAGCAGAGTGATCCAGGTTCCAGTGGCTACAGCTACAGACTCACCTCACTGCTTGCTAGGCTGCAGGATGCTTGGTAGGTTTTTCCCCCATGACAAGCTTCCACTCTTTATCTGAAGGACCATTGCCTGCCACGTGTTGTGCCCAACTTCAGGAAAACCCACTGCTCAAGTAGCTCCTCTTCCTCTGGCTGGACACACACAGCTGCTGAGATACCTCATAAAATCCTCTGTTCTGAAAGCATAAGAAGCTGCATGCACTTGGCACACAATAACCACGTCATTCTTTATGAGAAACTGAAAAATAGCACAACTCCAGAATATGATCCTAAAAGTTTCAGCTTAGACCATCAAGAAGTGGTCCTTATTATCCATTGGGTACACAGTAGGAAGTGAAATAGGACCAATTTAACAGTCAGGATTGGTCACCACTGGGAGTAGCAACTTTAAAGACAGGGAGTCATTAAAATTTGTCCTCCTCATCTTTTAGGGCACGACATCATGAGGTGCACTGGAGAAAAACAGTTCAGAAGATAATTAGATACAAAGGACAATAAACAGAAAGCTCTGTATTTATTACCAGATCTGAGCGGCAAGTTGCAATACAAGAATGTAGCCTGGCAGCAAAGACCAGGCCCAGCAAGAGTTGGGAATAAGAGTCAATTCACACAGGAGTGTTATGTCCCAGGTTCAAGAGTGGTGCCAGATATTCCAGCAGTCTCTTACCAAACAGAGCCACAGAGCCAAATCAGGGAGCGACATGAGTGAGAGTGTTATTTCTAGCCAGAGTACAGACTTGTGGCAGGCAGAACTCCATGTGCCAAGCAAAACTTGTTAGCCAACTGTCTCTGCTCTTTGAGTGTGAACATGTTACTTTTCTTCTGCTTGAATGATTTTTTTAAATTTTAATTATTTTTAATAAATGCTGTCCCTAACCCTAGGGTAAAGCAGCCCAATTTTCAGTGGTGCTAATAAAAGAACTCTCATTAAACACAAAATTTAATAAAGAAACAAAAGCAGTTACATAGGTAAAACACAGAATAAATTGGCTGAGAGAGAAGTCTGCTATAGGAAATTTGGAGCAATCAAAGAACATAAAACAACTTGCTTATCCTCCAAGAATAAAGACACAGGAGGAAAATGGTGAGCTAGTTCCCCTAGTTAACATCTGATTAACAGTTGTGTTGCTACAATGATGAACGATTGAAAGTATCCTCATTAAAATAACACAGATGAGGAGAAAGAGATTTTTAAAAATGATGACTAGTTAACACAAGCTTACCCCATTCCCAGTCAAATGAGTAGGGAATGGATAAACACTCTGACAGAATTTGGAGACATATTTCTCATAATAAGATAAGTGAGAAGTCCCTTTCAGCCCTTTATGGGAGCCCCAAGAACCAACCATTGACTTCTTTTTATTTGAAATCGCATGAGCTGATTACATGCACAGCCTGTTCCCCTTTGGATGTCAGCTGTAAAGTGAATATACAGAGATAAATAAAATTCTCATAATAATGGCATCTGGTGCTGAGGCACAAGAACTTCCTAAAAGACTATCATGGCCACATTTTTGGAAGAGGTTGGCCCTCACTTTCACTTTGTATCCATTGAACATTGAGAGCAGTATACAAATACCAGCAAAGCCAGTGCTCTTGTCATCTACACAGTGCCTTAGTTGAATTAACTAACTTCTTAGACTATAATCAAAGCCCTATCTTTAAGGGGAAGGAGTAGTCATGTCATGTATTTCCACTAAGTCCTTTCCATCTCCTAGCTTCCCACCATTTCCAGGAACACTGATTTCAAAAGCAAACTTATCTCTCTGCAAGGGCAGAAGGTCAGTCCAGCAGTCCAGTCAGGACTCTTCTGGCAGAGAAGGGAACTCTCAATCAGTGTTGAGAGCCAGCCTGTTTATCAACAGTCAGTATGTAGCAGTGTTGCAATATATTTTGCTTTCAGCAAAGTGAACTGAATTCTAGTGCTTAATTCAAACTAAACCACTAAAATCATACAGACAAACCTGCTCCCACATACATCTCCTGGGACAACAGCCAGGGTTGATTGTCATGTCATCCCAGCAAACACAGGCCCTCAGGAATTTAGTATAATTTATTCTAACACCTCTGCAAGAGATGCATTGCAGCAACCCAAACATCAAACAAAGGCAGCTACAGTAAACCCCAATATCTCCCCTCTAAATGCACAGCCCAATATCTATGTGTCTGGAGAAGAAATCTCCTATTTCTGAAAGTAATCTCTGCATCCAAGTCTTACTCCAGACAGTACAGGTTAATGGCATTAATTCACTGATACATATGCCCTCTGACATGCTCATTACTATTTGGAAATCCCTTAGAGAGTGCCTGGTCAACTGTCCCTGCCAGCCATCCCATTTTTTTTTAATTAACTGACCATTTTCAAATCAGTTTCAGGAACCAGTGGAGGCTTTGGAGACATGAACTCCCTCAAAAGTGTTTCAGTACAAGTAATCCAACAAAAGAGAGATTCCCCACATTAATGTCTCCTCCTAGAAAGGGTTTTTCTATTAGACATCAGAACATTCAGCCCTTCCTCTCCTTGGCCCCAGTCATACGGATAAAAAAAGCAGAAAGAGAGTCAACAGCCACACTGGAAAGCAATCTTCTAATATTTTACTGCTCCTGGTACAACTTCTTGGAAGTTAAGACACCTGAGATAGCGATTTCAAAGGTGCCACTTCAGCCTGTGAGTTTGGAAACAAGAAGGAATGAGGGCACACACAAACCCATGTGCTTCTCATAACAAGCTACTTGGTTTGTGAGTCTGAAAGACAAGCAGGCAGATATCACTGCACTATTGCTTCCAAGGGCATTGCAGACATGACTTCACAGTTTGTTTTGGGGGTCTTTTGGGGGTTGTTTTTTTCTGATGGTGGTGGCAGTGGTTGTTTTGTTTTGGGTTTTTTTGTTGTGGTTTGTTTTTTTGTTTTTTTTTAATAGTCATCCTCCAAATAGAGCAGCTTCTAGAAGAGGCCAGGCTGGTAATTTATATAGCAGTTAACAGCAGAAAGCTGCACATAATGCAGACAAAAGAGAAAGGTGCACTAAGCTCAGAAAGTTTTAATTGAACATGTTTAAAAACAGCAAGGCAACATCTTGCATCAAAAGCTCTCTGTGGCTCGCAGCTGGTGCCAGCTCTGCCATTGATGTCTCAAGTGTTTTGGGGCAATTACTTCTCCTTTGTGAATCTCTCTTTTTCCTATCTGTAAGAGAGAAAAGAGGAACCAATGCTGGCTGTTGACACAAATGTGTGCAGGTTCCCAGGCATTAGCCCATCAGAAAAGGACTTGAAAGATCAATTTTTACCTCCTCATTGTAACATGAGCCCCATTTCACATTATCCACTCTGGCACTGAAAAAATTCTTGGAGTTCTACCTTGGTGTCTAAAATAAAAAGAATGATCAATGATGTGATTTGGAAGGGCTTAAATTAAGTATTATAGCTGTCTTTCCAGTGATGGGTAGTTAGAAGTCTTCAAGCTATTGCCTTTGCCATATTGCACGATGCTGATGGACTTGAGTATATAATGATGGACAGCAAGAGGACTACATAGAGAAACTACTCTGTGAGACACAAATTTCTTAATATGCTCCATGTGCAATTTATTGTAACAATCCTTAGTTCTAAACTAATTTTTTTTTTTTTACACTAAAGGGGATTAATTAATATGATTATCCATGTGTGGGATGATGACTGAGGATAAAATTAGAGAAAACTGGGAAGTTACGTTCACATTCTAAAGGAAGTTATAACAGCACAAGAATTTGAGGATGAATGCAGTTGGCATGCACAAAATCTATTCCACAATGATTGTTCACACAACAAAGCCTGCAACC